AGAGACAAGGACTGCATATTGGTGTCCTTTGTTAGGTCGAGTGAAAATCCGAAGAGCTGTACTACTTCACTTCTTGGAGACTGGCATAGAATTAATGTGGCCATTACTCGTGCCAAGGTCAGAAATCGCCTTAATCATCTTTAATACTGACCTCTCAAATAACAAAGGCTGTTTGAGTGCCCAACAATTTTCAAGCTATCGATTCAATATATAACAGAAACATAATTCTGCAGAAAAAACTAATCATGGTGGGATCACGCAAAACACTATCAAAAGTTCCACTGCTGAAGCTTCTAATCAAGAAGGTCGAGGAGCAATCAGGCATCTTCAATGTAACAAGGAATGACATAAGTCAAAGTAGCAAGCTTCCTGGTTCCACATAGATCAAATTGTTGTAAAGGTTGAATCCATAAATCCTCATAATGGTATAGAAACTCCACCCATTGATAAAAATAAAAATATTAAATGTTATAATAATATAGCTAGAAAAAGTGAGGCTGATATATGCTTAAGTTAAGTATATGATCCATCCAGGTTTGTCTCAGCGGACATAGTTGTCAAAGAGGAGCTGGGGCTGGACTGTGTATCAAATGCCATGTGTGAAGCACCGAGAAAGTCTTGTCTACTTGCGAAAAGGTACTTCCCTTTTCTGGAAGCTTTATTGATTCTGCTTTCGTTGCCTTTTTTTTGTTTTTCAAAACCCCATCTTATACGGCGAAAGCAATTCATAATCACATTCACAATTGCTGGACCCTTCACTCTGTTTGCACTTTGGACGGTCCAAAATCCAATGTTCTGAAATGAGGAGTTTTCTTTTCTTAATATATAAAAAAATTCCTCTGATAAATATTGAAATCACAAGCGTACTGACACAGTGTGTCAGTGATTTCAGCAAAGCTGATATTGTCCGATCTTGTGTCTCCATTTTCTACCCACCAATTTTCAATAATTTGTCCACTAATTTTTAGTAGTAAGTAAAGTAAAATATTCCAAAATTCATTAATTTTATTAAAATAAAGTTTTTAACAAATAAATTTCTACTATGTCAAAATGTATATATATATTTTTTTATATCTATGTCTTTATATTTTTAAAAAAATGCATTGGATAATTTTTCTAATAATATTTAGAGTTAACTTGTTAGAGAATTGAAATTAGTAATAATTGTCTAATTTTGTGGTGTAGTTTGATGAAATTGAAAGTCTAGAATTAAAAATTGAGTTTTTTTTTTTTTCTTTTAATTTTTTTATTATTACCTTAACTTAAAAAAAATATAGATATGAATGGATCGCACATGCTGATGGCTTGCCCTTTCTTCATTATTAGAGACCAGTAGATGGAAGTATCTTTTACGTTTTAGTGATGTGACTGTCATGGTTGAGCCCATGACGGGTAGGGAACCTCTAAATATATGTTTTGTTTCGTGATTTTATAAGTATATAAAAATGAGGTTAATGTTATAAATTCTAAATAATAATAATTATAATATTAGTAATAATAAATATACAAGCGAGTTTGTGCAATTCATGATTGGTTATATGATTTGTAAAAGTTATTATATATTATAAAAGATATATTTCACTAATTCCATATATTTATGTATTACTTATAAAAGTTACACTTCAATTATTCAAGTACTCTCTTTTGATTAATTAAATATTAAATAAATAATAAATGTAGACAAAAAGTGATCAAATTATAAAGGTCAAATTGAGATCATAATCATGTAGGTCAGATGTGATAACCACGTGACATTTGATCTTAAGTTTATGAATAGTACATCCACCCAAAAAGTTTCTATATTCTATTGTTTTTTTTTTTTAATGGTTTAAATAACCAAGCTAAGTTTCAAAAAGGTTGGGTGATAAAGAAGGCATGTATGATTGAGATAGAGAAATATAATTTTTGTGTCTTTGTTTAGCCTATAAAGAATAAATTCTGTTTGCTATTTCGTCTATTCCTGACTTAAATGTAACACTTGCTGATTGATGTTATCTTTATTGCCATTATAAATTCCTAAATCTACCTCAACCATTAGGTAATTGTACTTAAAGTCATTCTTTTATTTTAACCATTTCAGGACAAACCATCATTTTAGTTCCTCTTTTCTATATTTCATTCTAACATTATTAGTAACGAACAAAGACTTGTGTCCAAATCCAATTGATTCTCTTCCATTTCCTTCAAGTAATTCAATAATTAGAAAATGATTTGGTGAAGCCACCAGACATTTTACAATAATTTCATCCACAGACAAACTGATCACGACAAAATTCCACTTCAATGGAAATTTGTTAGTACAGCGTCACATCATATTTTCCATTGAGAAGGTTTTTCTTTCCGCCTCATTTACTTTCTCTGGGTTTGTTTAGCCTTATTTGATTTGAGGACTAAAATAAATCTTCTTTTTGCTGATCTTTGTTTTATTGCATCTGATTCACACCTAACTTTCATAGTCATTCATCACCATTTTCCTATTATATAGAATTAAAGTAGACTTTAATGAACAAAGACCATTTTGATAGAAACTTTTCTCATCTTCCTTTCATTTTTGTCTAGCTTTATCAAGATACATGATCTTTGTTGGTATTTTATCTCACCAATTTATGAAGTCTTGGGTTTTTCTAAGCCTACAGTTTGAGAAGGTATCTCTGAGTTTTTGTAGCTTATACTTATAAATGTAGAGAAATGAGTGAATAAAACTTTGGTTTGGGAAGGATGGAAGAGCAAAGAGCACATTTGCCAAAGTGTTTTGGGACAAATTATTGTTGCTTGTCCTCCTTCACTGTTCATTTGAGGTGTGGTAGTGGGTTAAAAGGGGAAAATGCCCCCAGTGTTGATTGATCTATAGAATACTGATGGAAGTGAGCATATTCATGCATGAGATGCTTCATATTCCATTAAATGTGTTAACCAAATTTGACATCTACTTGGGATCTTCAACTTTCATGTTTTTGATAATTTGGTGTTTAGATTTTAACTCTAGTCGACCCTTGTTTCTATGCTTTGTCAATAAATGTTTATATGAATGTGTGTTAGAAGTCATATTTTATGGGATCTCACATTGATGGGAGCGGAGAACGAAACATTTCTTATAAGGGTGTGTAAATCTCTCACTAACAGATGTATTTTAAAATTGTAGGTTGATGTTGATATGTAACCGGCCAAAACAAATAATATTTGCTAACAATAGGTTTGAGTTATATATTCAGTCGGAAAAATTTGATGGTAGGGATTAAAATAAAATAGTGGGTAAGATTTAATAATTTATCTAAATGCTTCTTTTGAGAATCAGATGATGATGTAGTCTTTAATAGTGGGAGTTGATGAAACCGATGGAATCGACCAATATTGACCCAAATTTAACCACTAAAGTGGTGTGAGATTGTGTTTTTCTTTGTTTGTTTGTTGAGAGAAATCAGAATACTTGGTGGCCAAGCATGATTATTCCTCGTGATTCTATTATTGTCTCTGTAATATGAATAGTGGCAGCTTACACCCATGAATTTGTGAATATTTTTTTTTAAAAACTATGAACTAACAATGGTATGTTCATGTGTTTTTTTAGTTTATCTGGTAGAGTTAGAAGATTTGAACATCAGACCTCTCGATCGAAGGTATGTTTAAATTGTTATTGATTAAACTTCATGTTTTGATAAATTATCACTGTTCTTGACCCATGATTAATATCAAAAATTGATTTTTGTTGGGTCCTTAAACTTACCCTTCAAAGTCTCTGTAATTGTGAGGGGTTTTGTAATAGTGCTTTAATCCACGTTTAAGAATGGACAAGGACTTATCTCTGTCACCAAATTTGACTCGGAAGTATCCATTATTGGTATTGAAATTTCTTTGCAACCTCATCCAAACCTCCCTCCCAAAAGTTAAATTGCCTTGGAATTCTCAGTTTGTTGCATATGTCTTTATTATCATCTCCCATTTTCTAAGATCGAAAAGATCAAATTTCGTGTGAAATATATATAAATTCATTATCTTCATGTAGTTTATATCAATTTAATAATTGAGGCAAATTAGGAGGAGCAGGATCCGGATTGGAGTGTATAATCTACTGTCTAATTGAGACAAATTAAAGTGGAGCAAGATCGGGGTTGGAGTGTATAATCTATAATCTACTGTCTAATTGAGGCAAATTAAGGTGGAGAAAGATCGGGGTTGGAGTGTATAATCCACTGTCTTCAGAACTATTTAGTTAACGGGAACAAATCTACAAGTAACTTTAAATAGATATGCATTATCCTCATTTCCCCAAATTTTGTAACAATTAATTTGCATTTATTTCTGTATGATTTAGACCCAACAAAAAGAATGTCTGCTTCTGCCCAATAGAAATGTGTAGTAGCAATGATTTGATCATCCTAGGTTATATTTATATTTGAATCTGAACTTCTATATAAAAGTATAATTATAAAGTTTGAACCAATAAAGGTCTTAAATTTAAAAATAAAAGAATAAAATTGTATTATGTGATAATTTCTTATTTAATTTTAGGTCTAGAAATTATAACTATACTATAACCGTTGGGAATTATACTCTCTACAATAATATGATATTGCCCTAAACTCTCATAGCTTTGTTTTGGTCCACTAAGTATAAGTTATTATGAGTTTGTTTTGGGCTTCTCATTTGCCGGTAAACCTATGATCCTTTCTTGAACTTACTCTCAACAACTTTTTCGTTGAATGAATTAAATATTTAAGTCTATTTTGATAATAATTTTATTTTTTAAATCTATACTTATTTAGTCACTATTTTTTTAATATATTTGTCCTGGCCAATAAAATATACCTTTTAAAAAACAAAAATTTAAAAAGTACTGTTTTCTTTAATTTACTAACCAAATTTAAAAAAAAAAAAAACTGATCAACGTGGGCATATGGTCATTTTACATTTTTATGAATAATAATAATAATTGTTTTTTAAATTTAATTTTTTTTAAGAGAATCGGTGGCGTTCCTGAAATCCATTTATAAATAAATACAAGAGAGACTCTGAAATGATCAAAATCTCTCTCTGTTCTTTGCTGTGTCTTAATTATTTGTGTATGCGCCGCCATGGCTACAAATTGGAAGCTTTTTGTTGCAGAAGAAAAAGAGGAGGAGCAACATCATTAGCTTCCTTCTTTCAAATTTCACTATGAATCAGCTTCAGTTCTTCAACTCTTTCTCTCTTCCAAGTCAGTTCTCTCTCTCTCTCTCTCTCTCTCTATAGCCTTAAATTGATTCATTCAAAGCCAACACTTTAAGAATTTGAATATGCGATTTTAATTTATTTTCTTTATAAGATGAATTTATATTAAAATGAACAATATTATATCATTTTTAAGATTTGGCATCAAAAATTGATATCAACCCTCTAGAGTTTAGGAGGAATTTGAGGTATTATTGGATTGCATATTCATAGTAACCAATTGCCAAATGTAGATTTTGTATATCTCTCTCTCTCTTTCTCTAAATTTAATGAGATATGGATCTATGCATCTTCTAATATAATTTTAATTTTCCTACTTTCTTGCCTAGATTTTATGAATATTAATATTCATTCTTTTATTTTTATTTTTTAAATTTAAATACTATTTTAGCACTTTTTTTTTTTATATTTCATTTTCTATCCCTAAACTTTTAAAATATTTATTTTTCATATATATTCTTCAATTTTTTTGTTTTCTCTTTATTTTCAATTTTCGATCAAATTTCTTAAAATTTTGTAACGAGGGATCGAAGTGTATATTTTCTAAAATATATATTTGAAAAATGTGGACAAAAAAAAGACATGTTTATCTCTCTCTTTTTTTTTTTCTTTTTTTTTTCTTTAATGCCTCGGAAGGTGGTTTCCTTTTAAGAACAATTTTTTAGAAATTAAAAGAAAATAAAATTCCCTTTTTATCCAAGCGGGCCCACTGCATGGTTGTACGACTGATACATGAGGAGGAATTACAGAGAATTTTGAGAATATTCTGCGGGGCCCACATACAAATTGTGCGCAAGTACCCAAGTCAACGTCGTTTTCGCCGTCCAACTGTAGTCCACTAAATGGTTAACAAAACTGAGCCCATGGGCCTAATCATTTTATGGCCCATGTTAAATACTTATGGGCCTAACACATTTTATGGGCCTAATATCTGGGTCTTTGAAATTAAAGGCCCGTTTTGTGACAGCCCACACGTAGATTTCGGCTCAGTCCTTTGCAAGATTTAGATTTTTTTTTTTCTTTTTTTTCTTTTTTTTCTTTTCTTTTCTTTTCAAATCTGATATGTTCGGTAAATCTGTTGCAGCTTATAAGCTTTCTCAATTGGGAGCGAACTGGCAATGGCGGGAACTTGAATCCACATCATCGTGCCTGTGGGAGTGCATTAGCATAGGGGTACAATTAGGGTTCTTGGGAGTAATAATCGTTCGAGTTCTTCAGAAGTGTGTTGGTTGGATATGGAATTCTTACAGTGGAGATGGCAAATCGACGGATCGAGCTGCGGAAAACCGTCCGATCAGTCAGAAATTGAGCATTTCTTACAGAGTCGGTGTAGGCTGCTCCGTCTTGCTGTTGATGATTCATGTTCTTATGGCTTTTGTTTTGCGAAATGGTTCTCATTGCAATTCCGGAATCGAAGTAATTTCTTCAAAGATAATGGGAGTGATAGCGTGGGGAGGAGCGGTTTTTGCAGTTTTCGGGGTTTTGCGTGATAAATCCGTCGATTATCCTTGGATCCTACGAGGTTGGTGGTTTTGCAGCTTCATTTTATCGATTGTTCATGTGGTTTTGGATTTACATTTCGGAAATTTCAAGCACTTGAGAGTGCAAGATTATGTCGAGTTTTTCGGCCTTCTTCCGTCGATTTTATTGCTAGGGCTTTCCATTCATGGACATACAAACATAGTTTTCAATGTTCATAATGTTTTGGATGATCCACTTCTTCCGGAAAAACGCCTAGATCAAGAGAGGGACGAGAAGGATTCTCCTTATGGAAGGGCAACGCTTCTTCAACTCGTTACCTTCTCCTGGCTCAATCCCCTGTTTTCTGTTGGATACAAAAAGCCACTCGAAAAGGAGGACGTACCAGATGTTTGTCGGATAGACTCCGCGAAATTTTTGTCACATTCCTTTGATGAGACACTAAATTTTGTTAAGAAGAAGAACAATAGCACAAATCCATCAATATACGAGACAATATATTTGTTTGGTCGAAGGAAAGCAGCAATAAATGCATTTTTTGCTGTGATAAGTGCTGCAACATCATATGTAGGACCATACCTGATTGATGACTTTGTGAGTTTCCTCACTCAGAAGAAAATGCGGACCTTATCAAGCGGGTATCTTCTTGCGCTTGCGTTTGTTAGCGCAAAGATGATCGAGACGATAGCTCAGAGACAGTGGATTTTTGGTGCACGTCAACTGGGTCTTCGTCTTCGTGCTGCTTTGATATCACACATATACCAAAAGGGCTTGCGTCTTTCGAGCCGATCTCGCCAAAACTGCAGCAGTGGGGAGATCATGAACTACATGAGTGTTGATATCCAAAGAATCACCGACTTCAGTTGGTTCTTGAACACTGTATGGATGTTACCCGTACAGATTTCATTAGCTATGTTCATTTTGCATACAAATCTGGGAGTGGGATCGCTGGGCGCATTAGCAGCAACTCTAGTAGTCATGTCCTGCAACATACCAATGACCAGAATTCAGAAAAATTACCAGACAAAGATAATGGAAGCTAAAGATAATAGGATGAAAACCACTTCAGAAGTTCTCAAAAACATGAAGACACTCAAACTTCAAGCATGGGATACTCAGTACCTCCAAAAGCTAGAACGCTTAAGGAAATTGGAGCACCACTGGTTATGGAAGTCATTGAGATTAATGGGAATTTCAGCTTTCGTCTTTTGGGGATCGCCCACTTTTATCTCCGTTGTAACGTTCGGGGTGTGTGTCTTACTGGGAATTGAATTGACTGCTGGAAGAGTCTTATCTGCTTTGGCTACCTTCCGTATGCTACAAGACCCCATATTCAATCTCCCTGACTTGCTCTCTGCTCTTGCACAAGGCAAAGTCTCAGCAGATCGAGTTTCATCTTACCTGCACGAAGATGAAATACAGCAGGATTCCATCACTTATGTTTCTAGAGATCAAACGGAATTCGATATAGATATCGAAAATGGAAAATTCAGCTGGGACCTTGAAGCAAGCAAGGCATCTCTTGATCAGATAAACTTGAAAGTGAAAAGGGGGATGAAGGTGGCAGTATGTGGGACTGTAGGTTCGGGAAAGTCCAGCCTACTCTCATGCATACTTGGTGAAATAGAAAAGCTCTCTGGGACAGTGAAGATCAGTGGTACAAAGGCCTATGTTCCTCAATGTCCTTGGATACTGTCAGGAAATATCAGGGAAAATATTCTTTTTGGAAATGATTATGAAAGTACTAAATACAACAGAACAATTAATGCATGTGCTCTGGCAAAGGATTTTGAGTTGTTTTCTTGTGGAGACTTAACTGAAATTGGAGAAAGAGGGATAAACATGAGTGGGGGACAGAAGCAGAGGATACAAATTGCTCGTGCAGTTTATCAGGATGCTGATATTTACCTCCTTGATGATCCTTTCAGTGCAGTTGATGCTCATACAGGAACTCAACTCTTCGAGGTTAGTCAGGATATTAAATACTGTAAAGGATGAGGGAGCATATACTTTAATAGCCTTGTTCCTGCAATGTTCTTACTTTTACTGACAACCTTATGAACCTTTTTATTGTCTTTCATACTCCTTAGGACTGTTTGATGGGTGCTCTCAAGGAGAAGACCGTAGTTTATGTAACCCACCAAGTCGAATTTCTACCGGCAGCAGACCTCATCCTGGTTAGTGAAGTACCAAGAAAGTTTTCTTGTTTCAAAATACTTTACCATAATTGTTTCATCATTATGTTCAGAAAGGGGAATTTATTAGCTCAGGTTTACCTTGAATGATAGCAAAATTGTTCTCCAAAAACTTGTTCTTACCCCAAACATTTTAAGGCAATTGATATTTGTGTATGTTTGTGATTGATTGACAGTTTCTGGTCTTTAAGATGGACACGTTTTGTACTAAACATTTGATAGGTGATGCAAAATGGAAAAATTGCTCAAGCTGGAGGATTTGAAGAACTTCTGAAACAAAACATAGGCTTTGAAGTTCTAGTAGGGGCCCATAGTCAAGCTTTAGAGTCTATCGTCACAATTGAAAACTCAAGTAGCAACTGTCAACTGCCAAAACCCGAAAAGGAATTGTATGAAGATTCTCCCATGAATGTGAATCCTAGAAAGTCACAACATGATTTAGTGCAGAATAAAAATTCTGCAGAGATAACAGAGAAGGGAGGAAAATTGGTTCAAGAGGAAGAGAGAGAGAGAGGAAGCATTGGCAAAGAAGTGTTCGTTTCCTATTTAACCATTGTGAAAAGAGGAGCATTTGTTCCGATCATAATCTTGGCACAATCGTCATTCCAAGCTTTACAGGTAGCTAGTAACTACTGGATGGCATGGGCTTGTCCCCCTACAAGTGATACAGAACCAGTAATTGGGATGAAAATCATACTACTTGTTTACTCACTACTTGCTATTGGAAGCGCACTATGTGTGCTTCTGCGAGCTATGCTAGTAGCCATAACAGGACTTCAGACAGCACAAACACTATTCACAAATATGTTATGTAGTATACTCCGGGCACCAATGGCATTCTTCGACTCGACTCCCACTGGAAGAATCATAAACCGGGTAATTTTACCTTACAATTCAGCTTATGATACTTTAGACAGTCATTTTAAGCAAAAGAATTCAAGGAATAGTTCCCAGGACTTTAAACTTCACTTGTATATTACTTTGCAGGCATCCACTGATCAAAGCGTTGTAGACTTGGAAATGTTTACGAAGTTAGGTTGGTGTGCATTCTCAATAATTCAGATTCTAGGGACCATTGTAGTAATGTCTCAGGTAGCATGGGAAGTGTTTGCCGTTTTTATTCCTATTACTGCAACCTGCATTTGGTACCAAGTGAGCAGCTTAACCCCTATATACACTGTATCCTTACATTCTTGCAATGCCTTTGAGTACTTATAAGCTAATTTCCGGTTATGTCAGCAATATTACACACCTACAGCACGGGAACTTGCTCGGTTATCTGGAATACAACGAGCTCCAATCCTTCATCACTTCGCAGAATCCCTAGCAGGAGCAGCAACTATTCGCGCTTTCAATCAAGAAGATAGATTTTTCAAAACTAACCTTGGTCTCATTGATGACCATTCAAGGCCTTGGTTTCATAATGCTTCAGCCATGGAGTGGCTTTCTTTCAGATTAAACGTACTATCAAATTTTGTTTTTGGATTTTCTTTGGTTTTGCTGGTGACTCTCCCTGAAGGAATTATTAATCCAAGTGAGTTTCTTATATGCATGTTCTTGTAGTTAGATAGTTTCGCTCAGCGTAAATTTTCCGAAACAATCTTTAATATCTTATTGCCAAATTAAATAAGAGAATTTTGTACTTACAGAATTGGAAAACTTTCAGGTATTGCAGGCTTGGCAGTAACTTATGGGATAAACTTGAATGTTTTGCAAGCTTCTGTTATCTGGAACATATGCAACGCAGAGAATAAGATGATCTCAGTTGAAAGAATTCTTCAGTATTCGAAAATAAAAAGTGAAGCACCTCTTGTTATTGAAAATTGCAGACCACCAAGCAATTGGCCGCAAGATGGGAGCATTTGCTTCAAAAATTTGCAGGTGAAACTCCTTAGCAATGGGTATAAAATTAAGAGTACTTGAGTCAAAAAATCAGTACCCCATATCCAAAGTTAACACATCTGCATGTTAAACCTCATTTAATTAGGTTTAGTGCCTCTTTATGTGCTTCTTTTTATTAGATTGGAGCCCCTTTTTGTAGTTACTTTTAGGCACCCTCTTGCCCTTTGTTTTTGTTGGACTCCTTGTTTTATCAAGCTCCTTTGTTTGTGCATGTATTTCTTTCATTCTTTCTCAGTAAAACTTTGGTTTCTTAAAAAAAGAAACAAGGAAACAAGAAAACAATCCGGTTTGATTAGAAATACAAATTCTATATGCATACAGTTTTCCTTCTAATGTGTTTCAACCTTTTGTAGATCCGTTACGCGGACCATCTCCCAGATGTCCTGAAGAATATCAGTTGCACCTTCCCAGGAAGGAAGAAAGTGGGTGTTGTAGGAAGGACAGGCAGTGGGAAATCAACTCTGATACAGGCAATTTTTAGGATTGTTGAACCTAGAGAGGGAAGCATTATAATAGACGAGGTTGACATTTGTAAGATAGGCCTCCATGACCTGAGATCAAGGTTAAGCATCATCCCTCAAGACCCTTCCATGTTTGAAGGAACAGTTAGAGGAAACCTCGACCCACTAGAACGGTATACCGACCAGGAAATTTGGGAGGTAATCTTTCTTCTCTACTTATAAGTCTTGCTTATTAACAAAAAGAAAAAAAAGATTCTGAGAGAGTTTCCCTAATTGGAGCTACTACTAATAGCCTGTCATGAATAGATACCATACAACAATGAATGAAATCTAATATTGAATGTTACTTTCTCAGGCGTTAGACAAATGTCAACTAGGTGATTTGGTGCGTGCAAAGGACGAGAAATTGAATTCTTCAGGTTTGGCTTTGCCAAATTGAAATTGCTTATATCAAAGAGAAAATGAGGCGTACATGCTTTTCTAATACATCATACCTTAAATTATGGCAGTGGTTGAAAATGGAGAAAATTGGAGTGTTGGTCAACGACAGCTATTTTGTCTCGGGAGGGCGTTGCTCAAAAAAAGCAGCATTCTGGTGCTTGATGAAGCAACAGCCTCTGTCGATTCTGCAACTGATGGCATCATACAAAACATCATTAGTCAAGAGTTTAAAGATCGAACCGTGGTTACCATAGCTCATAGAATCCACACAGTTATAGCTAGTGATCTTGTCTTGGTCCTCAGTGATGGTGTGTTTCAAGTTCTTCATCTTTCTTTCTTCTATTCTTTGTATTGGTTACTTTACTAAAAAGGTTTTGATATATAGTATTGTTTTTTATGAGCAGGAAGAATTGCAGAGTTCGACTCTCCAAAAATGCTTCTCAAACGAGACAATTCGTTTTTCTCCAAGCTAATAAAAGAGTACTCCACGAGATCACAAAACTTCAGTAGTCTTGCAAATCAAAGGTATGATTAGAGCTTCTGAGCAGCTTTCAGAACCAGATTGATGATTTGAGACTTGTTGTCACTACCCAGCCGAAGAACTAAGAACTACAGTCTGCAGTGGCGATCGAGGTAAGCATATTAAAAAAGCAAAAAAATTTTGATGAGTTGAGAATTGTTGAGATAACATTAGTGGAAGATAATCAATTGTAATCTTTTTAAGATGACAATGACATTGCAGAAATCACCTGCCTATATTCTAAAGATTTCATCCGAACTCTAGAAGTTATTGTACCATTGTTTCGATTACTCGTACTGGTTAGTGGCTTATAGTTTGTTATCTTTTCGAAAAATAAGGTTATCATATCATAATCTTCATTCAACAAACTTGTTTTCTAGTTGTTGTCATTACCCAACCAAGGTAAATGGTTTTATTGATTAAAGAATTACATCATTAACAAGAAGTCAGAGCTTAACAATGACTACTTTACCATTCCTATCCTATGTGCATATATATTTTTAAAAAGGAAATTAAATGAAACTCATGGTTTTGATTTGCATATCAAGTTTTTTACTAAGCTCTATCAATGTACAATTTTTTTCTCCCTTATTTCTAAGCTCTCTATCAATTGTGGGGTGAATCACCACAAACCCATAGCATCAAAAACACCTCTTTACCTCTTTATTTCCCTTTTTATTTAAGAAAGAAAAGAGGAACAAGGATTGACACCCCTTGAAGACCTAAAGTACTTACTTCAAATACAGAGAATGAAGAACTAAGAGAGCTTTGGAGGTTCCTCAAGCAAATCATCTTCACCATAGTAGACGTTCTCAGCCATCTGCCAGACTTGTAGTATGTTATCTTCAGCTACACTAGCAACGACCCACTCCTCACAGGGATTCCAAGAGAAGTCTGATATTATATTGGTATGACCACCGTGAATGAACAGCAATTCGGGTGGCCCATCTTCTACGTCCTCCGGTGTCTGCTCCTCCTCGATCCTGCAGATGAAAAGCCACAAACGAGCTCCCGTTATGTAAACGTACGTCAGAACCATATGAAGAGTAGCTCTGATTTGGTTCGGTATCAAGTAAACTTTCAGAAAATATATCAAGAATTAGTTAATCACTAGCTTATCCCATAATCAATATTCTTAAGCATCATTACTGAAACAACATTACTGTGACTACAACTACATTACATTGATAAAATTACCTGCTAAGGTCCCAAACCATGAGTCTCCTTCCACGACAACAAGAAGCTAAGATCATTTCGTTCTTTGGATGCCAGCCCACCTGAAAAACCTCCTCCCTGTTGCACAAAACATAAATATAGACATTCAAAGACAAGCACACAACAGCTACAAACTAGGCTTTAAAATGTGTCTAGATGTCTAGCTCATGTGCTGTTTGTTTCCAGCACTTGGCAAGGAAAATCGAGATCATCGAATTTCATAGCCTAAGGAGGATGCTTACTTGTGACAGTCAAAGGTATGGAGGGATGAGCTGATATTACGTAGATCAAACAACTTAACCATCTTATCAGTTGACCCTGTGGCTACTAACCACTCATTGAAGGGATTGAATGTCAAGCAAATTACCTGAGGCAACATTACAAGGGAAATAATTCTATTAAAGTCAAAAGACCAGCATCTCTTTCATTACTAATTACCACAGTGAATAATGGTCAGGCAACCCGAAAAGGAAAAGACACAATTTCGTACTACAATAAACAAGTGGATGAAGCTTGCTAGAGAACGATCATTCAGAGCTCTCATAAGATTTATCTTCACATGTAACCACGAAAGGAGCTCTTCCTCATTTGCAAGGCAGAAACCAACATTCACAACCCACTAATTTTGCATGTATTTTTGTTTAACTTCCAGTAGCACCTACCTCACTTTGATGAGCAACTACAGACTGTACAGGCTTATTAGCTGAAGGACTTCGCAGATCCCATACATGTAGGTATCGATCTTCACCAACTGAACCAAATAAGTATTCATGCCTCATATGCCAGGCAATGTCTCCCACAACACCTTCATGACCCTGTCACAAAGATCATATCAGATCATATATGTGAGATCCCACATCGATTGGTGAGGAGAATGAAACATTTTTTTATAAAGGTGTGGAAATATCTCACTAGCAGATGCGTTTTAAAAACCTTGAGGGGAAGCCCAAAAGGGAAAGCCCGAAGACAACAATATGTGCTAGCAGTGGGCTTGTGCTATTACAAATGATATCAGAGTCAAACACCGGATGATGTGTCAACGAAGAGGATAAGTCCCAAAGGGGGTGGACACAATACGATATGCCAAAAAGTCAGAAAGGACGTTGGACCCCGAAGGGAGGTGGATTGGGGGGGTCTCACATCAATTGGAGAAGGGAACGAATGCCAGCAAGGACGCTTAGCCCAGAACAGGGGTGGATCGTGAGATCCCACATCAGTTAGGAAGAAGAACAAAACATTCTTTGTAAGGGTATAGAAACCTTTTTCCTAGCAGACGCGTTTTAAAAACCTTGAGGGGAAGTTCGAAAGGGAAAGACCAAAGAGGACAATATCTGCTGGCAGTGGACTTGGGCGGTAATAGATATATCATTTTTCACAAGTTGTTAGCTAGGGATGTTTTTTTTACATTGGAGTTCAATAATCAGGACACGAGTACTAGTCATCAATCATTATAATTTACACTCATCCAAATTATATATTTATACACTAATACATGTTCATAAGAAGTCCTTGGGCAAAATCCATACAAAACATTACGAAGCTGGCACCCCCTTGACTGAAAGAAAAGTCAAGAAGAGATACCTGATTGTGATTAAAAGCCATAGAAGCACAAAAACACAAACCATTTAGATGATTGTAAGGACTGTTTAAGAGGAGTTCACCTTAAAAATTTGCATAGCCTCGAGGGTTTTGTTATCCGGAGTAGCATTAATGTCCCATAAACAAATATGTGAATCCTCAGAGCCACTAAGTAAATGGCCCTGCTTGAACTTGCTCCATGATAAACCATAGCCTTCGGACTTGTGACCCCTCAACCTCAAGTCAGGATTACATTTACCATCTAGAGGTGGTATGGATGGGTGTTTACTGTAGTCAAAAACAAAGACTTCAGCGCTGACAGTCTTTGTGGCAATAATAAATGGATTTTGAGGCATATAACGGGCTCTATTGACTTCGCCGTCGTGATTTATATGCTGGATTATTTGTACCTGAACTGAGAAAAGATTCAATAGAAATTTGCATCTTTACTACAAAAATTCATCAATCGATCTACTCTCAATCTATCAATTGCAGTATCAATTGAATCCCCATATCTTAAACTTTTTCCTTTGAAAGCATTACAGGAACTAAAAAATAACTACTCAAGAGGAAAATTCCGTCCGATTCCAGATCAGTTCTATCAAGCAATAGATTCAAGATTCAATTTCACGTTCTTCCATTTCTAAAGAAAAGGTTCAAATCCACATACCTTGCCGTTCGCACACCCAAAGCCACCCCCACTGGCACGATCGTCACGGTAATGTCGCGCATCGTTTTCCGAACTCTCAAGCGGAAGCTGAACCTGAGCAAGCATGAGGTAATTCGGCTTATTATCGAAGCTATGAGTCCCCAAAATCATCTTCTGAACGGAGTAATCCTTGCCCGGAGGCTCATCCCGGTCCGGCAACCACTCGACGGTGAGTGAAGGCCACTCTAGGGCATGAGTGATGATCAAATCGTAAAGAAATGGAGTATTCTTCTTCCAAATCTTGTACTCCTCATTTACCAGTCTCTCGTTCGTTTTTCCACGTATCTCTTTATCGCCCTTCTCCATTGTCTTCTCATGAAGCAAAATTTGCAGAGTTTGAGGGTCGATTTCGTCGGTTAGAAGCAAAGTTGGGGGCTCAGTTCCCTGGTGAAGTTCCCGCCAATATGTGTTCAAGAAGAGGTAGTGCTGAAGTTATAACCCCCTTGACATTTTCGTGTTAGCTTTTCCTTAGGACTGTGGCAGTTAATGTATTTTAATATATTGAATTCATATCTCCAAATTTATTTAATAGACGGAATTATTAAATAAAAAATGAAGTCAAAATCTCGAGCTTGCTTCCATTGATTCCTTATCGGTTCAAGAGAGTAACCAAATATTCCTTAGTAGACTCAGTTTTAAAACTTGAAGAAAAACTCGAAAGAAAAAATTCAAAGAGAAAGAAAAATCAGAACGGAAAAGTTCAAAGAATACAATATCTTCTAGCGGTGAACTTAAACTGTTACGTTAATATCTAGAGATGGTGCATAATTTTTTTGAATTTTCGAGCTATTGATTAACTACAATTTAGTAGGTTTCTCAAAACGTATAAACAGAAATAAGAAAGCAATTGGTTTTGAAGAGGATACCAATACGCATACATTATCGCATGAAAAAAACCTAATTGAACCCATTCGAGTGCTATAATTAAGTCCGACTAACCTTCCTCCGCGAGTCCCCACCCCTTGCAACGGGAAACCCTTACATGAACTCTCCTTTTGTTGATCGAAAAACTCGAACAGGAGTAAGACACTCCATAAAAATAAAAATAAATAATTAATTAATTATCCTAAACCATAGACACTACACACATTTATAAACAAAAGAAAATATCTTAAGTGACCGTTAAAAAATCAGAAGGGTGGTAATGCACAGTTCACTGCACATTCCAAAACTGTCACAGTTGGATACCTCTGGGTAATTCTATCACCATACAAAATGAGCAACTACTGATTATATAATTTGAGATCTTTCCTCATTATTTCACTCAAAAGAGGAAGCTGCGGAAGGTGTTTACAAAAGAAAACAGGAACTGTGTTCATCAAGAGTCAGCATATACTGGAACAGGCAAGAAAGGGAAGGGTGCAACCGAAGCATATGCAACAGGTGGTCGACCTTGGGCAAAACCTCGGCGATGCTCCGTCTTGTTCTTTTGTGCAATATATCTGTCCTCCTGTATCAACCCATCCAACATCGTTTCGGAACTACCTTCTTCCATTGTCTGCTCATTGTCAGAAAGACGATGAAACAGAAGTCCTGACATAAAAACAGGGAGATACAAGAGGCTAGCATGAAACATCCTTCTTGCTTTCTGCATCGTGCAGTGTCGGTAGAACGAAAACGCAGTCGCACTGATTGCAAGTGTGAGGATGGATGATTCTAGACAAAACCATCCCGAAGTGACGCCCCCTGAAAAGATTAAATACCATGTGAATTCGGTTGTGTTTGGTATCATTGGCATGGGAGGAAACCAGGTAGACAACACAATGGTCAAATTGTTTAATCGTGACAACGATGCATTCATTCATCGAAGCAGATTTTATGTCAGCATAATGAATAAAATTTTGAGAAGATCCTCAGATACAACAACTTTCTCAGTCAACTAACAAACAAGAGTATACTTCAGATGTAGAACAACGAGTTAAAGTATCACAATGTGTAAAGCATGTTTTTGGTTCGTAATTGAAATTTACCAGAGCCGTAGATGATAGAAAGACTTTTGATGCCAACTCTTAGATAATAGAAACTTGGAATTTGTGGGATACAAACTCTACTGAACTTACACACACACACAATATAATTCAAAGAAAGAAAATGGTGCATTGGCCTAGATCTTACCAACAGTTTATGTTATTTCAACTTCCATAGTGTACAACAGATAGAATTAGCATAAGTTGAGACAAAAGCTAGAATGGCGTGACACCAAAATTAATGGTCTTTTAGATTATGGTTTTAGAAAGATAGATGGCTTGACAACTATCCTCTGAGTCAGACCTTTCCTAAACTCTATGCCATAGATAACACAAAAGGAAAGTTGGTAACTGCTAGAAAGACGGTCAAACCAGGGACCTCGGACTAAATCTATTTGATAGCAAAATGGAAGAGTGGAATAAGTTTGCTAGTTTGAAGGATGTGTTCCTCAGAACAATTGGAATGCAATGACCTTATGATTAGCACGGTTGCACAGGGCTGTTCTCTTGTGAGTTTGTTGCTTTTCACTTACAGGTCCCAATTACTAAATTGGAGCCAGAGGGATATCTTATAAACTGCTAGAGGAAATGTGCCTAAAAACATGGCCTTCTTCCTTCAATTATTGGCCTCTAGAAGCTCAAATACCCGAGATAGAATCCAAAGAAAGAACGCTTCTTTAACCTTTTTGCCTCAAGTTAGTACGAACTATTATCCATATGCAACAGTTTGTATGTCAGTAAGTTTACACAAGTAAAACAATTTGGATCACCCACAGAGTTAGCAACGGCATGATGCAGTTTCTTGGCAACTAGGCCTCATTTGATAACCATTTTACTTTATGTTTTTGGTTTTTAAATTTAATCTTATAAACACTTCTTTCTGTCTATAGTTTTCATTGTTTATTACCTACTTTTAAGAACATTTTCAAAAACTAAGTCAAATTTTGAAAATTAAAAAAATTGTTTTTAAAAAACTTGACTTTTTTTATTTTAAATTTGGCTTTAAAATTCAAAGGAACGTGCAAAACTTATAATTTTTCTTTAGGAAACAAACATAATTTAAAAAAAATAATAATATGAAATGAGATCTTAGTAGATTGGTTAGAGCGAACGATTACATATAGAGGGCATTAGGGGTTGGGAAAGGAAGGCATAGCTTTGGGGAATAATCTAGCATGGGACTTATCAAATTGTTACTATTATATTTAATTTCTAACCGGGATTCTATTAGTAATTGATTTGAACTGTGCACTCCGCCTTCGGCCTGTGACGGGAGCTATCATGACTTCAAAACTACTCAAACTGCTACTAAGTTGCTTGCATCATGACATTTTTTTAAAAGGAAAAGGATTGTAAAACATATCCTACTATATGTCAAAAGTCAGCATGGAGATGAAATCTGCAGCAGATGACTACCAAACAGAGTGTGGGATAGTAACTTACAATCATAAGCCAAGAATCCCAGAGGAACGAGGTACAGACAGTTTCTTAAAGCCACAGCCGCAGTTCTTTGACCAGAAGCATCAGCAAGAGAGAACATTTTATACCTAAAATACCAGAGAGCAGGGTTAGAAAGAGCATTCCAAACAGTTCCAATAACTAAACAACTCCTTGTCATACGTTTTTTAGTGTTTTAAACTTTAAAAACGAAGTACAAAAATTATGGACTCCATTTAGGCGTCTCAAAATTCATCTTTGTAAACTTCTACCATTAAATAGTCAGTAGACTATGCAATCTGCCAACCCACGACAGTTTAATCTATAGACTGAAAAAGTACACTTTAAGTCTTCAATACTTGGCACTTTTCTAATATACTTCAAACCATCCAGATAAATGAATAATTTTAACACACACACAAAAAAAAAAAAGGATTCTTGGATAGGATACGAAAGTTGTATTATAAAACGCCAAACAAGACCAGCCTAAAAACCAAGGTAGAAGAAACCCCTACTAAAAAACTAAAGAATTAGTGTCTTCTAATTACTTCTAATAAGGAGAAGACTGTAACTACAAAAAAAATTGGTTGGTTCAAGATCCACTAAGACACTAAATGTCTCAACCCATTACAAAGAGAATCAAAAGGTAATAGCTCATCTTTGGAATTCTTTGGTTTCTTTCTTCCAAATACTCCGTAGGAGACCTCTAGGCGAACAGTTTAAACAAATATTCATTGTCACCGTGATGATAACATGATTGATAACAACTAACATACAAATTAGCATTGCAATCAAAATATATCCTTACCCTCCAGCAGCATAATCATCACGACACAAATATGCAAGAGCCATAAAATGGGGTATTTGCCAAAAGTAAAGGGCAGCAGGAAGAATCATTGAATTTAGAGATATTTGTCCTGACGCAGCAGCCCACCTGAAAGGCCACATCAAAAAAAACTTCATACTTCAATATTGCTCATATTCATTGCTTGATAGCACTGCCATATGCACTAAAATCTTAACAGTTGGCCTCTGCAGCAATATCATACGACAAAACAAGCGGATAACCAAGAAAAAGTCAATACTCCACTAGACTAGTCAGAAGATTAAGTGGTCAAATTTAAAAGGTAAACCCCAAGATATAAAAACCTCTGTTTGCAAGGGGTAAGATCTATTTCACTTAAAAGATATATAAGCAGAACACTAGATTAGGACTTACCCAAGAAGTGGTGGTATAGCACCAACTATGGCACCAACCCACGTATTTACGGGGTGAATCTGTTTGAGTGGGGTATATACAAATGCATAGAGAATCAAATTTGAAGCTGCAAGACCAGCTGCCAAGATATTAGCCTGCAACAGCCTTGTCCATAAAGAACAAAATAAGCATATTGGCTCATTGTCCCTAGAAATTGACAACATATTTATAGTTCACAGTCCAATAACAACAAAAATATGATGAGCGATTTATCTTGTCACCTTGGTAGCTAACATAGCAGTGCCAGCTAAACCAACAGAAGTTGCCCAGGTGACTGCATGTGGCATTGTGATGCGCCCTGAGGGTAGTGGTCTTCGACATGTTCTCTTCATTTTAGCATCATTTTTTATTTCAAAAACCTAATTAAGTAAATTTCTAATTAGTGTAACACACAACTAAGAAAAAATTAGAATAACATAAAAATCTAATGCTTTATAGATAATCTGATTAACTTGCTCCCCATGACTTCCAAAGAGTTGTGAGAATTATTATCAAGGATGCTGTACTGCTATCTTAGCCGAAGTCAACTTCAACACACACACACACACAAAACAAAATAAATAATTTTTTTTTTTTAAATAAAAATCACCAATCAACAGCGGGAGTTAAAATTCTGAAAGGCACAAATATTGCAGTATTACAAGTCCATAAATTGTCAGTACATAGTACACATCTTTTACAGCCTTGGTTAATATGCAACAGATCTTAATTTCTCAAAAATAAAAGTGAATACATGAATAGGATGCATCCATTACATGGTGAAACATTAATTTCTCAAAAATAAAAGAAAGAAAAAAAAAATTA